ACTGCTACATAGTTTTATAACAATTTCTCACTCATCTATTCCTGAAAATTTCATGAATTTCTGATTCAGCTGAGGACTCAGTTCTCGCAACAGTGCAAAAAACTGCAACTCACTCAATTCAAGACTTCTCTACAATCTATCTTCCGCAGCAGAGTTAACTGCAAAGTCGTCTCCTTATTAGATTCGGCTAAATTTGGAACAGGTGTTGGAGAAGATCGATACTATTAAAATTCCCATGAAACTTTGCTGCATTACAGAAGGTGCATTATTAATTTACGTTTTGGCTGGTCGTAAATTAACTTTTTGGTGAAGTTACTTATTGATAACTCGATACAACATACTTCAGTGAAGTTACTGGAAAATTGAAAGACTAGGTGTAAAAATAATCTTATATTGGGTAGAGGATACCTTTCTTCGGACAGTATCCTTATTCCACAAATCTATTATTTTTTAAATATCATTTGCTAATCGAAATTCTCGGGACAAGATTATTAATTTTCATAATTACCACATATGGGCTGATGAAAACCCTCAAGCTATTGTCGAAACTAACCATCAAGAACAGTTTTTTCTTAACGTGTGGCTTGGAGTTATTGGGGATGATTTAATTGGGCCTCGTTTTCTACCTTCTCAATTAAATGGTGAGGCATACGTTCAATTTTTAAGAGAAGTGCATCCAGTACTGTTGGAGGAAGTTCCTTTGGTCGTCAAAAGGGATATGTTTTTGTGCATGATGGGGCCCCCGCCCATTTTAGTTAAGTAGCACGTCAGCATTCAACTGAAACATATGCAAATCAGTGGATAGGTCGAGAAGGACCACAGAACTAGCCAGTTCGATCCCTGGATCTCAATCCTCTCGATTTCTCTGTTTGGGGCCATTTACAGCATTTGGTTTATCGTACTCCTGTTCGCGATGTAGAGGCCTTAAGAAACCGCATCATCGATGCGTGCAGGGTAATCAGAGAGACTCCAGGAATGTCTGAAGGTGGAAGACATATTGAACATTCACTATGATTTCTACATGTTGTGTGTTTTGTTATTAATACATTAGTTTTGTTTATTACCCTTTAATCGTTCAATGCAGGTACTAACTACAAACTAACAATAAATCCAGTTCGCATTTATGACGATATATCTCTGTAGTTGTTCGTAAAATAATTTTTTGCTGCGATCTGGTTTATTTTGGGCAAAAAACCCAAGTGACATTTTTTATTTAGAATGAAACAGACTATTGGAAATAAATTTTTAAATGGTTAACAAGTAATAACACAAAAAGTTACATGGGAAATAAATTTTAGGGGTTGCGTTTTCCACCCCTTACAACCATGTGGTGAACCAAATAAATTTCTGTCTAAGTATCTTTTTGGTAGTACAAAACTTTAGGTCAATTTCAATATCGTAACTTTTTCAGTGCTTTTATACAAATTTTATGTACCCCCTTTAAGGGGCTGTATCTCAACAAGGGATGCTCCAATGAAATTTCTTCATATGAAAGATCCAATTTTTTTTTCGATGAGAAATCACCTCCTTAGAAGTTTTACACTTATTCAGTTACACCCTGTATAGTAATTACTATGGATCTTCTTCAAATAACGGCCGAATCAATCAGAAAATTCAAGCAATATAGTTTAATCAAACGTCGTTAAAAAAGTTATTCTGCTGAAAAAAAGTACTTTATGATGTCTCTGAATGGAACTGCAGAGACATCTCATACTGAGTTATTGCAGGCAAGTCATGAAAAACCAGACTAGATTATTGGAGAATGTTGATGAGAAAGGGTAATTTGTCGCAGAGGATATCAAACAAGACTCCATTAGAAGGCAACAATTTCAGTTGATAGTACTCATTGCGAAGTTGCGAAGTAATTATACTTCAAATAATTAAAATTCCCATCAGTGATATTAATTTGAAATTCACAAAAAAGAAATAACTCGTTTACTTCGAGAACGTTATCCAAACATGCGTGAAATCTGTTGATTCTTTTTCTTTATAATGATAATGGACTCCACTCATCTATGAATAATCAAATTGATGAATACAAAGAAGTAATAGTGATGAAGGTGAAGTATCAGTTGTAGCTGATTTCCTACATAACCATAATTGAATATATGCCTCTGTTCAAGCTCAATATGACTTTGTAGATAATTGGTCAACAGTTCAAAATTAGATAATCATAGTGGAGTTGATGTAATATACCGGGTGAGTCACGAGAAACGAGACAGTCTCTAGTGCAGTGGTCGCCATTTATCGCGTATTTATCCCGTTCAAAGCAATCCAGATAGTTCTCGAACACTAACGCGCTGGTCCGGCTGGTCGGTTCTAGCCGATTCTAGCTTGATGGCGTCCACAACGTTGCCGCTGTTTATGTTCAATATTATGACAATTAGATTTTTTTTGTGGAATTTTCGGAAGCTTCTCTGATTTTTGCAGTTTGTATTTTTTAAATTGAAATCGTTGTGAGAGCTACCAGAATTGCCTCCGCGAGCTACCGGTAGCTCGCGATCGACAGGTTGTCGACCACTGCTCTAGTGGCTGGATAAAACATATTTCTTAAGATCTTTTATTGCCAGACGATGCAGATCACTTGAGGGCATGATTTAAAATTAGTTTTCTCTATCCAAGGCATTCCTGAAAAGTATTATAAAAGATGTAAATAAAAAGTTTCGATGAAATCTGACACACTCTTTGTTTTATTTTGATTCAAAAACAGTTAAACACCTTTCATGTCTGAAATTACCTTTATCTGGTTCCATTTATTTCCTGGGCGGTTATTACCCCCTTTGTTCCCCCTAGATACGTTCCTGCATGAATGAATGGTGCGTATGGTGCTCTACGAAACCATATCAAATGTCACGCCACGTTTTCCAATGGTAATTTATTGGAGATTGCGGCTTATCGAGTGCTCATTGGAGGCATGGATCATCCCTTGATTTATCGAAGGAAGTTATTCGTAAAGGACGGCTTGTTCCGGACAAATTGATGAGAAAATTGTATCGGATGTTTTACGTAAATAGGATACTCGATCTTGTGACATCCCGTCGGATGACGGGGAATATTTGGCAACAGCGTGGGTTGATACGTTCGGATTTGATGGGGTCATAAGCGAAATGTCAAAACCCGCCGTGTTTGCCTAAGGCTTTCGGTGAATCAGCAATTTCGAATGATAATGTTGGGTAAACATCGTTCTGGAAGTGAAATATTCAAAGCTCACGATATGTCACGATTTCGTCCTTTTTGGAAGGACTTCAGTTTTAGATTAGGGGGCGTTTTTATCTCACTTCTTCCTTTTGGGGGTGGAGTGTGATATTATAGCTATTTATGATATCAGTGTTGAAAGCAAGGTTTTATTTTGTGAGTGTAAAAATTTCATGAATAAAATAAAATTTACTTTCAACACAAATATCATGCAAAGTTTTTTGTACAACTGTGCTGTTGCTCACTTTTAAAGTTCTTGCTGGTGTTTAATGTATTGCATAATGAAGAACAATAGCGAGGAATTCTGTGTTCCTCACGATATTGAAGAGGTTGCAAACAGAGCTTCAATTGAATGCTTTCCAAAAAAATCGGCTAAGCAGTACGACATCGCATATTCTAATTTTCTTAGCTGGTGTAGACTTGAAAACGCCGAAGGAAATTTCAGCGAAACCGACTTTTTAGCCTATATAGAAGAGAAATCAAAAATATGGAACTCGTCAACTTTGTGGAGCAAGTTTTAAATGATGAAGTCGCGTGTGCTCCTTAAAAATTGTGTTGATACAAGCGAATATTTCAAAGTAATAGCTTTCTCGAAGCGGAAAAATGAAAGTTATAGGCCCAAAAAATAAAAAACTCACACGTTTGAAATAAATGACAGGCGAATGGTATTGGTCCGTCATCGGACCAATACCATTACGGAATGGTTTTGTTGCAAAATATGATGGGCGACTGCTGATTTTTCAGGTCTTCCATATTTTAAGTGTGCTATGTATTCCTTATAGATCTTTAATAGATCATTTCGTCTGTCCATAATATTTTGCATCGCATTCCTTTCATTCAATTTCGCAAATTCCAGACTTTTTCGAATTCTCGACTTTGTCTTTTTGACTTCCCAAAAGGCTCTGTAGTGAATGACTTGTTTTAAAAACCACCTCCATACCTAGTTCTTTGAAAATCTTTTCAAAGTTCTTCGTATATTGGTGGTGTGGAACTGAGATGTATTTATCTTGGTTTTTGCCCTTTCTGAAAGTCGAGATTTCGTTCATTCTTAACCTGAACTTATTCTTTCTTATTATGTCATCTACAATATTCCTCGAAAAACCGTTAGTGGCTGCTATTTCCTGTATTGTACGTTATTCTTTTGTGAACCTATCATATGTTAGAGGGAAAGTCAGAAGACGATGCACCAAAAAATTCAACCCAGCAAGTTTGTGCTGTCCACAGTGATATGAACCGTCAGGAATAAACCTGTCCGTGCTTGTTTCTTTTCTGAATATATTGCATTGAAAAACTCCAGTGATATTCATATACTTTTGTTGTATACAAGTTTCATCAATAATAATTAATCGGTGTCAAAACTCGGATTCATTGCGCCCAAACTGAACCGACAGAGCGTTGTAAATGTTCATTTGAACACTTTTTCGGTCTAAAGTGAGCAAACGCGGCCCCCAAATCGCAGATAACTTTCTCATGCCTGAATGTTAATTCAATTTGTGTCAAACACTTTCTTTTGACATGTTCATAACCTTTCTATCTCTTTCATTTCAATTCTACGGTCGTCTACCACTATTTGGTGAACGTTGGCGATGTTTTTAGACGTCACGCCTCGTTTAAATTCAGCTGCCTCAAATTTCACTGTGGTGAATGATGGTGCAGAGTCCCCATATACAGAAATCTAACTCATTTTTGATTTGCGTGGGCGTACTGCCTGTCAAAAACAACTCGCTACTCGAGATCATCCATTTTCATAAGAAACTCACATAGACTCATTCAAACTACCGTTACATAACAACTGCGCGTCCGAAATGACTGAAACTTTGGTGAGTAACTATCAATAGATGAACAAGGAAATTCACTAGACCCAATTTACGAGTGCTTCCAGAAGGATTTTGTTATTTTATGAATTCTTATTTCAATCATTCTAGTTCGCAACTACTCTCAAATTTTAATTGCATCTCATAACTTCTTTTTGCCTCCACCAATCACCTGTCGCCGATAAAACAACCGACATCGGAAGCATCAATAAATCACGCACACGTCAGATTGCCCTGTGACTGACTGCCGGGATCAGCAAAAAGTGATGGAGTCAGCTCGAAGCAAATGCCGGAATCATATGCTCGATCTCCACGAACAATCTCTTCGTGAAGAGGCAATTATTTCGAAACGTCGAGTCCTGGATTCGTTTCAAAACAATACGTTCGGGAATGCCAAATCAATAAGGCAAGACGCAGATGCCTGTCTCGCCTCCACGTAAAACTCCAGTATTTCAAGTCATTATGGCTTAAAAGCACCGGCCGATACAAATGACCCGGCAGGTCGGACTCGCGATGAGAAACTGGTCCAGAGGCGGGTCAAGGGGAAAACACCCACTCCTGTTTATGTTTCAACTGTAAATTTTGCTCCTGAACTATTTATATGAAGGGAAAGGTGTTATTTGTTCGTTTTTATTGAATGGAGAAATTCAAGTGAACGATTGTGGGATTGTTTTCATCAAAAGCTACATTGTAAGGTCCATTATCAACGATTTTCATAGACTAAATTTCATTTGAATACTTCTCCAATAGAGCAGAGATCGGTATGAACAAGAACAATTACAGAGCTACTCTTTTTGTATGTTATCTCATTATATCTCAGAGCACTTGGTGGACATCATTAAAAACATCAAACTAAACGACACCGACATCCTTGCCAGCCTAGACATAAAATCCCTCTACCCGAGTATACCCATAAACGAAGCCCTAGCCACCATTAGAACTGATCATAGCTTTCCGCAACATGTCACGGATCTAGCAGAGCACTGCCTTAAAAACACCTATTTCATATTTGACAACCAGATCTATAAACAGGTAGAGGGAGCTCCGATGGGTTCCTCCCTATTGCCCGTGATCGCAAACCTGTTCATGATGCACTTCGAGAAAGAAGCACTTAACAACTCTCGCCTCAAACCAACCCTGTGGAAAAGATATGTAGACGACATATTCATCATCTGGCCCCACGGAAAACAAGAACTAAACCGGTTTGTGACCTACCTGAACAACATCCATCCCCGCATCCAGTTCACTACCGAAAGAGAGGAGAACAGGCAGCTACCTTTCCTAGACCTACTTATAACACGAAAACCAACTGGCAACTTGGGTTATACAGTTTACCGAAAATGCACACACACCAACCGCTACCTACAAGCAGCATCACACCACCACCCTACCCAGCTACAATCCGTAGCCAACACGTTAATATACCGCAGTTTCCGCCTAACAGAACCAACAAACAGGGCAACAGAATTGAGGGAGACAACAAAGGCTCTGCGACAAAATGGCTACGGACCAAAGATCATTCAAAAGGCCATCGACAGACAAAGAAGAACCAAAAAAACATCCACTAGATCGACAGAAGACTCTCCACACGACAGACAATCTGTGACACTACGTTATGTCAAAGGTGTGACTGACAAAATCGGAAGAATACTAAGACGTAAAAACATCCGGACAACCTACAAACTGCACAAAACGATATCCAGTTGGCTGCCCAGAGCGAAAGAGAGAATTTCCCTAGAAAACCAAGGAGTATATAGCATCACATGCGAGGACTATGGACAACAATATATCGGTCAGACCAACAGACGTATATCTGCCAGAACCCAGGAGCACAAAAACTCGATAAGAACAAAACAAACCTCCTCTGCCCTCTTTCAACACCATCTACAAACAGGTCACAAGATTAATTTTGAGTCCACAAAACAGATAGCACAGGTGCAAAACCCAAGAATTCGACAAATCAGGGAAGCTATCGAAATCGAAAAGCAAGGCCTCATCAACAAAAGGGATGACTCACTAAACATCCCAAGGATTTGGAAAACAATAATTAAAAACAACCACCAAAGACAACCACAAATTGATAATGAACCATCGCAGGTAGGAGAACCGCCAGAAGCCATTAACAACCCTCAGGTAGAAAAACAGGTAGGAGAACCGCCAAAAGCCATCAACAACCCTCAGGTGGAAAAACAGGTAACAAATACATACAACTTACGCAAGCGAAGCCATATAAAAACACCACAAGAAGAACCTAACATCAGTTACACCTCTCGAAGCGAAGCAGTAACTCGTCTTGATAATGCCATCTGAGATGATGGCGAAACGTCGACTATCGAATAGTACACAACGGATGAACACCCGGAAAAACAACACATCATATTGTACCATCCGTGAAAACCTACATTGTAATATATATAACCTAAAAAGGTTAATGCAGTCAAGCTGCTGGAAAATAATTCCATGAAAATCAAAAAATACATAGATAAGTACTCTTTGATCATTCCCATATTGATTTCAATTCAAGAGCCACTGGTATACATCTGTTTCAGCCTATTGGGCATCGTCATTACCGGGCAGGCGATACTCAATTGAAGACAAAATGAGAAAAAACCAAGAAAGTACTTGATAAAACAACTCACCCAGCTAATGCCGCGCAGAGAGTTGAAGTAAAACCATCAGGCACCTGTGCAACGTCTTCGAAGATTCGTCGCAAGTTATTTCCCACTATGAAAAGCAAAAATTAATTTTGTTTGGTCGATCCGACTAACCGACAGGGTGATTGCCCCATCATCAGTACCGGGCATGGTCTCTTCAAAACGGTATGAACCGTCTGAATATCACGACCAAACAAATATAAATCCAGCTAGCCATAGAATCTCTCTGCAGTGGATTCAGTGGGATGTCCACTGCTTCAAATACAGACAGAGCCAAGAAACAACTCCACAAGCATACCCCGGGGTAGGAGTCGGAATTGTGAATGATATTTCGGAGAGGTTTATTATGACGTGCTCAAGGTTGCCCCTTTCCTCTCATGCAAACCTACGACTTTGTAGATACGTGTGGCAGATACCCAACGAAAAAACAACAACTCACCCAGCTAATGCCGTGCAGAGAGTTGTATGCTTTTCATAGTGGTAAATAACTTGCGACGAATCTTCCAAGTTGAAGACGTTGTACAGGTTCCTGATGGTTTTATTTCAACTTTGTGCGCGGCATTAGTTGGGTGAGTTGTTGTTTTTCTATTGGGTATCTGCCACACGTATCTTCAAAGTTGCATGAGAGGAGAAGGGCAACCCTGAGCATGTCACAATGCACCTCTCCGGAATAATTATCATTATTTCGACTCCCACCCCGGAGTATGCTTGTGGAATTGTTTCTTGGCTTTGTCTGCAGGTGACGCAGTGGACATCCCACTGAATCAACTGCAGAGAGATTCTGTGACTAGCTGGAATTATTTTCATTTGGTCGTGATACTCAGACGGTTCACACCGTTCTGAAGACACCATGCCCGGTACTGATGATAGGGCAATCACCCCGAAACCGGTCTATTGGTTAGTCGGATCGGTTTCCGCGTTCAGCAATTTGATATAGGTACTGTTGTCAGGATTGAACGGCGTCTGTAATTTTCATCGTTTCGGCTCCTGCTCTGGAGCCATTTTCAAGAATCACTTAGATTTGTACTTACATGACTCGAGGACGGGGCCGTAATCTTCCTTGCCCCCAAGGCTCGTTACTAGTTCTATGTTTTCTGTGTTCCACTCTAAGTTCGCACTGGTTACCTTGTTGTTCAGGGCCCATATTTATGTTGTTGTAGCAGGTATCTGGTTTGCCTGACCGGGTACCTGAATTATTTCCAGGTATCTTTCTTGACAACAATGTCCTTCATGTTTGTGATAGTCTCTGCGAATCATCTCGCTTGTTAAGGCAGTTTGAGCGTTTTTCAATTTCGATTGCTTCTCGAATTAACTTGACCTGAAGATTTTTCTCCGTAGCAATCGTCTCGGTGTTTTCGAAGCTTATTGTGTGGCATCGATAGAGACTTTGTGCATTTTCTTCTTTCTTTGCAACTTGAACACGTCGATTTTTCATGTCCATCCAAAGTTTCCTCTCTTGAGAAGAAATCCAAGCACTGTGATAAATTCAATTGGCCAGTTCTTTGTGGTATGGGGAGTGACAAATCCCAGAAAGGATCGAAGGAAACAGATGAGTCTCCCCAATGTGTGCACTTCATCGTGGATTTTAATTGACCAACGAAATTATCTACAATGTTAGAGTTATATGTACTCAAACGAATCAGCCATTACTCTTGCGCTTTTTCGCTGTCGCTCAATTTTTCGTTGATCTCCGTTGAGGTCGGTTTAGGTTTCTCAATAATTCTATTAACGTCATCATGTAAGCCTTCTAAAAGATAACGAAGGAACTTCTGGGCGTCTTGATGCGCATGACCCGTGAATCGAGGGGCAAAACTCTGAATCTGACATTTTAAGGAGACTGTGCTCTATCACATGAATCTTCTGACCACAATTGATATCTTCTGCGGAAGTTTTGATTGAAGCACCCTCCGTATTAGAAATATTAGTATTGATATCTTTCATGTACTCATCCTTTTCCAAATATTTCAGTAACCATCTCGTATTTGACAAACATTGGATTGCACTGTTTGAGGTTGCGTTTGAGGTTTGTTGATGCAGAATACAGTTTGGTATGTACTACGGAGTGAGTGATAGTGTTTTTTCGAGCATGTTATGTATTTATATTAAAAATTAATAGTGAAGTAATGATACCCAAGCATTTTTAGAAAAAAATAATCATACTTATTTGTCAATATATTTTAATTTATTGCGACGAATAGCCTCAAAGTTTATGGGGAGGCTGAGCCTCCCTTGCCTCCTCTGACGAGCCTCCGCTGGGCGAATGCAATTGAATTAGCACCATCTATGTGTTTGGCCCTATACTTTCCAGCCCATGTAGTGGATGCTCTGATTTCCACACCAAAAATGACCCTTAATACAAGAACTATGATCCACTAATGCGATCTCCGCCCTCTCCAGTCATCGACAACTTGTCGATAGATTGATTATCCCATTATCATCCTGGCGGCGTGAAAAAGTTGCACCGTCCACCATCTCCATTCTGCGAGCACACAACAGCTCGTTTGACTAAGTGGTTCTGTTGTTGATGCAAAGCTGACTGATTTATGAGATTCTGGGAGTGATGGGACAATCACCGCTCGTTGACTTTCATCCGCTGTCCTGCCTGGATATCTATTGGCATTGTTTCGGACGTGAATCCTGATGCAGGGGTTATCTAGACGCATAGACCGTCTACCCGCCTTCGAAGGCGAAACATGCTAAAATGTACCGAAAAATGTATTGGTTGCATTGGATATTTGCAGAAAAAATTTTGAGGCAGATTACCACTTTTTTGCAACTTTTAAGAACTTCCCTGGATTTCTATTTCATTAACCACTCGGTGTATATTCGATTAGCGATTCTTTTTATCTTTTCATGTTGATGTACTCGTGCAAAATTAGTTTGTTTGCAGAGGTCACCTTAATATATTACTGTTCCCGGTAGCTGGTCGATACTCTAAATAGTGAACTCTGCAGAGTTAGTCGATGGTGTAATGTCAACACTCTCAAACTGAATAGTGAAAAGACAAAATGTCTATCACTGAGTAATAAAACAGGTTATGACGAAATCAAAATTAGAGGAATCAGTATAAAGATTGCAAATGGGTATTGAAAGTGTAACAATGGGTCCCGATGATGTATCACCATCGACAAATCGCCGAAAAAAAGTCAGCTCTTCGGCAGAACAATAGGAAAAGCCCTCTTTCAGAGACTCATGAAATACTGCTTTTTCCGGACCCAGGAACTTATACAGGACCTAACGAGTGAGTTGCTCTTGAAGGAACTAGAGGGAAAACCAATTAGGGAACTACTTCTCCAGGAACCAGTGGAAAATTGCTCTTTCGGAACTAGAAGAAAAACAAATAGAAAAACCGCTGTTGTTCATTAATTGAAAAGTCCAAATTTCAACAAAAACACCCGAAATAGATGAGACACATTATATTTTATTTTCGAACGGGAGTAATGAGTGCTCATATTTTCATTGTATTATTTTATTCATTAGAGTTGTATGTACTATTTGATTCAATTGTTTATTGGTTTCATTTTGTGTATATGAATAGGGGAAGTTTTATGGGTGGAACGGTGATAATGAAGAAGGCATTCAAACGTATCAGGACTATTTTTTCAGTTTTTCACATTTGTAAATCTACATGAATGAAAATCATTTATTTTCGTCTACTTAAAGTTTTTTATCTCGATACTGAACGTCATTGTCATGCCAACATGACAGGTAATAATCAGTTCTGAAGTATCATCTACACCTGTGTAATAACGTTTTCTAACTCTTTTCCTTTATAGGAAAAAAGAGCGATTTATTTCCAACAGGAGTACCCAGTTACAGGAAATGCTATTATTACAGAGTATATATGGAATAAATATCAAAACTAATGGTATTGGGAGTACTAATTGACCAAGGACTAATATTCAAAGAACATGTATTGAGAGTGATAAAAACTATCACCAATAAGGTCAATTTTTCGGTGAGAGTATCACCCAGCCTATCTAGATGGTCGGAAATTACAATTTATAATACATTAGTTTTACCACATGTCACTTTCAGTTCTTCAGTATTATTTACGGCTAATGAAAACGAGTTGGATTGACTTCAAAAGCAACAAAATAGAGCCATGAGAATCATATTGGGGGTACCAAGAGACACGCCAATAGTCATAATGTTGAGAGAATTTAAATGGATGTCATTAAATGATTATGTGTACTATCAAACAATGGTACTGATAAATGGGATGTATCACTATCTATCTTCGAACTACTTGAGCAGAAAAATTACATATAATGAATATTATCATAATTATAATACCAGAATCAACCGAAATATCTACGTAGGAAGCAAAAGTAAGAGGTGTACTGAATAAATACACACATCGGAAAAATCTAGGGATATTTTTAAAAATGGCAATAATTTTTTTTTAGATCGCTTTAGGAAAAATAAAGTTGACGGGTGCTTATTAAACGAATGTAACTTACAACAATATTTATTAAATGGTCAAAAATACTGAGTGCGCATATAAGCAAAACTAAAAAAAAAATATGGCTCTTCTTTGGCACCCCGAAAAAAAATCATAATACAAAAAAAAAAAACCGACTTTTTAGCCTATATAGAAGAGAAATCAAAAATATGGAACTCGTCAACTTTGTGGAGCAAGTTTTTAATGATGAAGTCGAGTGTGCTCCTTAAAAATTGTGTTGATACAAGCGAATATTTCAAAGTAATAGCTTTCTTGAAGCGGAAAAATGAAAGTTATAGGCCCAAAAAATAAAAAACACTCACGTTTGAACAAGTCCACAGGTTTAAAAGAGACAGGTGAATGGTATTGGTCCATCATCGTTATTCATAATATTATTATGTTTACTTATTTTTACACTCTCATAGGCATCTAGTTGCTTGTTGTTGTTAACTTGTCTAACTATTCTCGATGACCTGAAGTCTATGGAATGGTTTTGTTGCAAAATATGACGGGCGACTGCTAATTTTTCAGGTCTTCCATATTTTAAGTGTGCTATGTATTCCTTATAGATCTTTAATAGATCTTTTTGTCTGTCCATAATATTTTGCATCGCAGTGCTTACATTCAATTTCGTAAATTCCAGACTTTTTCGAATTCTCGACTTTGTCTTTTCGACTTCCCAAAAGGCTCTGTAGTGAATGACTTGTTTTAAAAATCACCTTCATACCTATTTCCTTGAAAATCTTTCCAAAGTTCCTCGTATATTGGTGGTGTGGAACTGAGATGTATTTATCTTGGTTTTGCCCTTTCTGAAAGTCGAGATTTCGTTCATTCTTAACCTGAACTTATTCTTTCTTATTATGTCATCTACAATACTCCTCGAAAAACGGTTAGTGGCTGCTATTTCCTGTATTGTACGTTATTCTTTTTTGAATATTCGATTTTTTGGTACCAAATATCGCGAAAATATCATCCACATACCTTAGCCAAATCCTAGGAAAATACTTTGACTTTCCTATGGTTTCCATTTCGAATCTGCTAATGAAAAGGTCTGCCAGGTAGGGGGGATAAGGGATTTCCCATGGGCGTTCCTTCCTGTTGTTCATAAAAGCAACCTTCTACCTGGAACCGATTTTGTTCCATTCACAAATTAGTAAAAGAAACGAATTCATCGTTATTATTGAAATTATTTTTCTCTAGTAATTCCCTGAGGTATTGCAAGGTCTGTGGAATTGGGACGCTAGGAAATAAGGAACTAACATCAAAAGAAACCAAAATCTCACCTTCTTGCAGAACCACGTTTTTTGTATGTTGTATCAACTCTGAAGAGTTTTTTATATTAAAACCTGGTTCCGCAATAGACAAGGTTACAAATTCCTTAGTGAGCCACTTTGCTATTTGGTAGTATTCAAAGCACCGCTATATAACAACTACGCGTCCAAAATTACTGAAACTTTGGTGAGTAACTATCAACAGATGAACAATGAATTTCAAAAGCCTCAATTTACGAATGCTTCCAGTAGGATTATGTCCTTTTATGAATTCATATTTCACTTATTCGAGTTCGCAAATTTTCACTGCATCCCATAACTTCTTTCTGACTACACCAATTACCTGTCGCCGATAAAACAACCAATTCATTTTTATTTAGCTGAAAATTGTCTTATATATAGCTTCAACACAAAGACGAATGCAATTGTTTTGTATTTTTTGTAAGCGACTTACATCAATTTGTATCAAAGCAGGCCCGTAGATTATATCGCAATATGCTAATCTAGACAATATGAGGGTTTCGCAAAGTTTCAACTTCAATTTGGAAGTCATAATACTCAACTCTACTTTGATACAGTTGACGAAAGATACTGTACGAGCTACGATAAAGTGAATTTATATGTTTGTGAAATCTCAGATCAGCATCTAGCCACAAACCCAAGTTCTTATTTTCTGTAATTATTTGTAGTGAGTCTTGTCCACGTTGGATTTCCATTCTTTTTTCAATTTCCTACCTTTTGTGTTTCGGGTCAGAATTCAATTTCAGGTTATGAGCTATAATGTTTTTCATTGCCACCTGCCAGTGTGAATTTGATTCGATTTGATTTTATTGTTATTTCTTGAGTTCAATAACTTCATTACTATTCCATGGTTTTTAAAGTGTTGTGTTTGTTACTTTGTTTCTATATCAGTATTTTTGTCTTACCTTTGTTGCCCACCTATGTGTAGATATCTGATATGAGTGCTTGAAGTTCATTATTTGTGAATGAAGCCAGTCATATATATGACTGTAATTTATAGTTTGGATATTTTTGCATTAGCCTAATTATAGTTAGGATCAAACATATTGTATATCAGCCTGTGCTGAATAAAGGAATTAATAATATTAATGACGACGCTCATCCTGGACGCCGCGATACATCAACAACCGATGAAAATGTTGAGAAAGTAGATATGGAGAATGGTAAAATCACTATCAGAGAGGATACAGAAGATGGCACATCGGTTGCAATTTTCCGGGAATTTTGGACATGAATCGTGTGGCTGTGGAGTTCGTTACAGAATTGCGAAATTTTCACAAAAAAAACGTCGTATTGGTAGGTATCGTTTAGGCTTTGTTGAATGACGTCAAAGGCGATCCAGATTTGCTCAGAAAGGAGGGGGAATTTCTATTCACCCTCCAATCACGATATTTTGAATTGAAAAAAAAACTGACATTTTTTGACACTGCGTTCTGAGGCCTTCTCTAATATCAGCAATGACACACATTATTCAATTTTTCCTGTTAGATGAAGTGAATACCAACTCAGCTATAGAGTCTGAAAAGTCCAAAACTGCTTCTATTGCTACGGTATCGTAGCAAACATGAAGGACTCTCAGATACGGTGAAAAATTGAACAAGAAATGAAAAATAATAAGCGATGAATATAATTAATTTATGAATTGATGAAAAGTGGACGGACGAAAAAAACAACTGTAGCAAGCATAGATTTTCGAAATGAACTGAACTGAAATTATACCCAGTGATAAATAAAGTCCATGAAATAGGTTACTACAATTTCGGACAAATATATCTCTCTGCCAATAACGTTATCAACGGAATGCCAGCGGAAATTCAGGTTTCCAATGCACCAACATTCTTTATTTATCGAATATCCCGCAAATCGTATATGAAGTACGCACGAACTGAGGCGTTAACGCTAGGCAGCGTTTGCGAAGTAACCAAATCGAATCATACTCAAAAAACTCAGGGATTTCATTTTCATTCGCAACAGGGGCTTATTCGCTTCGGTGGAAGAAGAATCGATACAAATAGAATGGAAGTGACATCATGATAGAAATTCATGGTGGCATATTTGATATTGGGTTTTTCGCGAAGCGCAAGCTGTGGAAGGCATGGAAGTACGAGGATCTTGACTTTACTCATGAATCAGGATCGTGTTGTCAAATTCGGATTCTAAGAAATTTGTAATTATTTCGTAAAATATTGAAATATTGATAGATTCTCTTGGAATTATTCTGAACCATTTTACAATTCTCATAAACGAATGTTTCTGTCAAGGTGTATTTCCCACTGCTTTCAAATTATCTAAAGTGGTGCCTATTTTTAAAAAAAGGTGATGATACATACCCTCAAAATTACAGACCCATCTCTATAATCTGTACTCTTGGCAAAGTTATCGAAATAATTTTAAAAAACCGTTCAAGTGCCTTTTTCGAAAAATTCAATCTTCTTCACAAACACCAATTTGGTTTTCGTGCAGGTAGATCAACAGTGAACGCTGTCTGTCAAATTGTCGCCGCGATTATAAAAGGATTTGAAGAAGGTAAACATGCTGTTTCAATTTTGTGTGACCTCATGAAAGCTTTCGATTGTGTCTCTCATGACCTCCTTCTCGAAAAACTGGAATTTTACGGGATGAGAGGTCCTACACTTTCTTTTATTCGTTCATATTTGACCGGTAGGAAACAATATGTATCTTCAAAGAGCGGCAAATCGGACACACAGGAAAATCCACATGGTGTCCCACAAGAATCTGTTTTGGGACCACTCTTATTCATCACATATATTAATGACCTTTGATGCTACCTATTTCTCATCCCAAAAAAATATTGATAGTCTCCATACCACTATAAACCAAATTGAAGACAAAGCTGAGATATGGTACAATTATAATGAGCTCAAACTGAATAGACTCAAAACTTGAACCATTAACGTCTCCATTCAAAATAATTTACGAACTGGAAGTTCTTTAAATCTTTTGTGAATCCAACTAGACGACTCGTTAAATTGGTCCACTCATAACGAGAATATATGTAAAAAGATACCGTCCCATATATTCCTACTGAAGCAGATGAAACGGACGCCACTGTCCAAATGGTACGGCAGACCGGAAATTAATTATCCCGAACCCAAGACATTCGACCCATAAACAACAAAGAATACGCTCCACACATTTATGAAAGGCCATAATTTCCGAAATATCAGTTTACTTCATGAAATAAATTCCAGGCAAATGTTAATTTTTCATCTCGTGTAGATGCAGCTTCTGCCATCCCAGTCACGATATTGGCCAATATATCCTCGTTCCTTTGCGTATTCTCGTTGTATGAGGAATGTTATTAAGTTATGTAGTTAATGCCTGAGGGACGTTTCGTCGGGTTGTTCATCGAAATTCTCTCACCCAACTATCAGAAAATTTCATTTAGACATGCTTCCAAATGCGGGTGAGGAATGGGAAGCAACCAGTTGCTTCTGGGTGCTTGTTTATGACTGTTCCTGACATCCTACTTCAAGGTGCTTTCAGTTATTGAAAGAATGGAAAACTCCAACTTTACATTCATCTTGTAGTTCTAAAAGTGACTTCCTTTCTTCAAATTCAGCCATGATATTACATTCGGTTTTTCAACAAAGTTTTTTTTATCTTTCTATTCTTGATATACACCAAACTTGCATGCGATTCATATCATTTGGAAATAGGTTGATAATGTCACTGCTCTTTTCTGGAGTTTGAGTACCCTATCGGCCTCCTGTGATACTCTCTATACTATGATTCCATATGTCATTACTGAGTGAAGGTGTGCAGAATATATTATCATCAATACAGATTTTTCAAAGGTTTTTCTGAGTTGGTACAGAAGATAACACTTTGGAGCTAGTTTTTAGCTCACTTAATTTATTTGGGTAGTCCATGTACAGCTTTCATTCATATGCAGGAACATCGTAGAAGGTGCTTGAGTTATAGATCTGCCGTCAGATTCTAGCAAGAAGCTGTGGTCGAATTTATTATTTGAGTGACCTAATCTTATGAACGTTGTCTTCTCCATGTTCAAAACTGATACATTTGAAGAAAACCATTCCCCAGATATTTTGATTTCTTCAATGGCCTTCAGAACTGTTTTCTCTACATTACTCCCTGTAGCTATAAGGGAGGTGTCGTCTGCATACATTATACAACTTTCATTAGAAATGTCATGCACGTATATCAAATATAACAGGAGACCTAAAACAGAACCCTGCCGAACCCCTGCATCATTTATTGTTTTCAACGAAGTGTGATTGTTTACTTGAACATGCTGCATCCTGTTTGTCAGATAACTTTTCAGCCAAGCATGTACCACTCCTTTGGAATCGTACAGTTCTAGTTTTGTTGAAAGAATTTCATGGTTGACAAGATCGAATTCCTTCCTAGGAACAGTCGATGATAAAAGAAAATTGTCGAAGAAAATTGTTATAGAGAATCGTCGACTCCTTCACAATTGAGGAATGAAATTCGAGGAAAATGAGCTTTATTCAAACACATCTATACTTGAAACTTCACTACAATTTTCAATAACTGTTATACAGGTTGTCTACTTGAAAACTTCTCGTCTGTAATATTCCCTTCACACAAAACAATATAGAAAATTCATTTTGAAATACTACCGGTCACTGATGATGAATATTTGCAGACATTCCCATACAAATCCAATGGAAGGAACTTTAAATGTTCAAGCCTGTCTCGGATATACCTACACAGTAGGTTGAGTGGACTGACGCCTATCAGAAAACAACTACTCCCCTGGCTAATACCACAAACGGCGTTGGATTATATCCGACAGGCGTCAGTCCGGAAATCTTCACAGGAAATTTCCTGCATATGCAATTGGCAATACAACTGAAAGAGTTGACCTTCAATTTTGGAACGAGTACACTTGCAGACCGGTTTCGGACTCATTAGCCACTCGTCAATGCAACATAGTGGCCATCATCGACCTAAAGTCAAGGATATTCCATAATTGAAAATCGGAATTCTTCCAGAGTATTTCATTCCTCTTCCTAAGTTGGAGCGAACATCACAAAGTGTCACTCCATCTAGTGGACAAGGTACTAACCAACTGCATATCCAAAATTTGCCCGATTCCTCTGAATAAGGAAGAAAAACTTTCCTATTAGTCAGTGGGCTATGCTTGCAGACTGACAGTAAACAAAACTTTAGAACTGAACTTTGAATGTTCATGCCTGTTTCGGATATACCTACCCATCCTGAATTACTATATATTCAAACAAGGCGTTACCATGAAATTATTCAAATTAGTGCTCCAACTGTAACGATACAACCATATCAGAATCATATAGTGAAACATAACAAAAAGATTGAATTTTCTTTGGGGAATATATGTAGAACCGTTGAATAACTATATATTAAAACAAATTACTTACATCTAATCATACAAATCATTGCTTTAACTCTAACTATGAAAGCATATGTGAATCTTGTATGAACACGGCAAAAAGATTGAATTCTCTTCAAAAAATATATGCAGAATCATAGAATTACTATATTTTGAAACAAAATATACACATGAAATAACTCAAATCAGTGCTTTAACTCTAAATGTAAATCCTATAGTGGAACACGACAAAAAGATTCAATTCTCTTTGAGGAATATGTGAAGAACCATCGAATTACAATATATGGAAACACGATATTCACATGAAATCATTCAAATTATGGTTTCAACTCTAATGATAAAACTATAAGTAAATCTTATAGTGAAACACGATATTCACTTAAAATCATTTAAATTAGTGCTCCAACTCTATTGAGAGAACTATATGTAAATCTTATAGTGAAACACGACAAAAAGATTGAATTCTCTTCAAAAAATATATGCAGAATCATTGATTCATTATATTTTGAAACAGGATATTCACATAAAATTATTTAAATTAGTGCTTCAACTATGATGATAGAAATATATGTAAATCTTATAGTGGCACGACAAAAAGATTGAATTCTCTTCAAGAAATATATGCAGAAGCATCGATTCACTATATTTTGAAACAGGATATTCACATAAAATTATTCAAATTAGTGTTTCAACTATGATGATAGAAATATATGTGAAAGTGAAACACGACAAAAAGATTGAATTCTCTTCAAGAAATATATGCAGAAGCATCAATTCACTATATTTTGAAACAGGATATTCACATAAAATTATTTAAATTAGTGATTCAACTATGATGATAGAAATATATGTAAATCTTA